CTTTCCCCCTTCCTCTTCCCCTCCCTTCCCCCTTCCTTTTCCATTCCCTCCCTCTTTCCTTTCCCTTCCATTCCTTTCCCTCCCCTCCCCTCCTCTTCCTTTCCCTTCTATCCCCCCCCCCATTCTTTCAGGCCATGGCCTTGTTAATTCTGTGTATCAGTTACAGCCTTGGGTTCTGAGAGTTACCCAGAAATACAAAGCAAAACCAGTCATCCCTCAGTTCCCCAGGTGTGGGTTCCAGGACCTCTCACCTCCAGGATGGGTACCCAAGTCTGAGGATGCTCACATATATCTCTCACACAAAGTGGCATCGTATTTGCAAATAACCTGTGCACATCCTTCCATATCCTTTTCAGTTGTTTTATTTTTTACCCAGGGTCTCACTATGCAGTTCAGGCTGGCCTCAAACTCGCAGCCATCCTCCTGCCTCAGCCTCCTGAGTGCTGAGATTACAGGTGTGCACCACCATATACTTTAAAATTCAAATCATCTCTAGAGTACTTATCATACCTAACACAATGCCGGTGTTTTAAAAATAGTTGCTATGATAGAGAGGCGGGAATAACAATGAAGAAATATTCTGTCCGTGATCAGTACAGAAACAATTTGAAAAAACTAAATTTGTTTGCTCTGTGGCTGGTTGAACCTGTAGCTGTGGACCCCAGGGCCAACTGCATCTGTACTGACAGTTGCACTGTCATCTGGGCCCGGTCCCCACCGAGGTCTTGCTACTGTATCCAGTTGTTTCCTGCAAAGCACTGTCACCTGGGTGCCATTATGATCCCTGTTTTACAGATGGTGGGAAAAGGAGGATCACAGAAGTTAGGGCCCTTGTCTAGGTCCACACTATCATAGGCCTTGTCTGAGCCTGTCCCCAGCTGCCAGCCTGTGTGGCTGAATCTGGATGGCCCTGCCTGAAGGAAGATTCTTTCGGGGGATGCAGCATATAGTGGGAGAACTCAGTTTCTCCAGGCAGGGAGTGTGTGACTGTCGTAGTCAAGGTCTGCAGGGGAAACAACACAGGACACATAATTTATAGGATTATTTTATAATAGTCAAAGAGAGTGCAGGAAATCTGTCCACACACTAAAGATCCAAAGAATCCAGCTGAGGGCCTGGATCCCATGGTAACGTCCTGCATGAGTCCAGCTGAAGACCTAGAGCCCATAACAATAACCGCCCCCCATGAGTCCAACTGGAGGCCTAGAGCCCAAGACAATGTCTCGTGCAGGCCTGTTTCATGGATCTGCACTGGAAAGGCCCAAAGCTCAGTGGTGGAAACTGGAAAGTCTGCACCAGCAGGCTGAGGGATCTGCACTGGAGCCAGGAAGTGACGCTCAAAGTAAGAACCAAAGCTCCCCCGAAAAGTGCCACAGCCACCCTCAGTGACGAGGTCCTGAGCTCCTCCGACGATGAGAACAGCCGAGTCCATATCAGGAAAACCAGCGTGACAAGCTTCTCCGGGACACTGAACAGTGCGCCATCTCCCCCTCCAGAGGCAGGAAGTGATGTTCAAAGTAAGAACCAGAGCTCCTCCAAAGTGAACCATAGGGTTCAGCGTGACAAGCTCCCTCAGGAGAATCATCAGCTCCAGGAGAACCAACAGCTCCTTTATAGCACCTCTTCTTTTTCTCCAGTTCTTTATATTTTGTTGGCAACAGTCCTCAGGTGGGCCTTCCACACCCAACACCACGCTGGTTCAGTTTGGCTGGGTGCTACAAGTTAACCACCAGTTGTCAGTCCCATCAGAGTGATGGAAGGAAATTCCATTTTAGGGAGGTGGCTGGTGAGTGCAGTGGCCAGGGAAGACTTCAGGGGATGCTGGCATTTGGGAAGAGCCTGGAGGACAGAGAGGTGTTGGAATCAGAGGTGGGAGAGCAAGAGAAAAGGGCAGGGTGGGGAGGAAGCCCGAGGCAGCTCCAGGAGGAGCAGGTGGCTGAGGGTGGTCGGGATGCAAGAAGGCTGAGTGGGAGGCAGCCAGGGCTAGAGGTAGGTCATGGCCCGGGGATCTGGGCCTTGTCCTCTCTGGTGGCCACTGGCATCATCCTGGGCACACGTGGGGGGCTCTGCTGGGTCAGCTAAGAGGCCATCCTGGTGTCCCTGGCTCTGTGTCCAGCCTCCTCTTCCCCACAGAGCACTGGTCTGGAGCTGTGGGCTGGAAACGGGAAAAGGGTACTTGTGTCAGTCAGGGGTCTCCAGCGGAGCACAGCACTAGGATACGTGGAGCTCCACAAGGGGGCTGGGTAGAGTGGCTTGCAGGATCGGGGGCCGAGGAGCCCCACAGTGGCCGTGTGCGGGCTGGAGAGCCAGGGAAGCCTGTGGCTGCTCAGTCTCAAGCTGGAAGCCTCCAAATGAGCAGAACGAAGGATGCAGCCCCTGGCAGGCCCCCCCGGAGGGCCACGGTGCAGGTCCCAGTTCCAAGGCTGAAGAATCTGGAGTCTGATGTCCACAGCAGCTGCAAAGAAGCACACCTGCTCACGGAGGGCTGAGTGTGCACACGAGAGCTGCCTCTGTCCTCGATTTCCTGTGCCACGAGGGCCCCCAGGGTTGGCTCCCTGCCCCCAGTGCTGGCTCACACCCCATCATCTCGGGGCCACCTCACCGGCACATCCAGAGCGTGCATTACCAGTTTGCTAGGTATCTCCCAATCCGGTGGAATGACAACCAGGATTAACCGTTGCAGACACCAGGGGCAGACTGCGGGGGTCTTTCTGGAGCACTCCTCCTCCGTCCCCTCCACTTATTTCCCAGGGGCCCAGAGTACCTGAAGTTGCCTGGTCTGGCTCTGAGCTTCTGGTGATCAGTTTTGTAGGGTCTGGTGTGGGACATGGCTTGACCTGTCCCCCTTGCCCTTGGGACCAGATTGTCAGAGGCTCAGGGACTTTTAATCTCTTAATTCTCTTTTCATGCATGCTTCTGATGTCCTGGGTTAATTTTTTTTTTTTTTTTTTTGAAAAAAAGAAAGAGATAATGACCTCCTTTCTTGATTCTGCATGTGGACCACTGTTAGAGGACAGAACCCCGACAGCCCACCGATCTCAGGTATATCTGCTCCACACCTCCTGCTACAGCTGCAGGGAGGGCCGGGATCTTTCTTGTTCCCCTGCAGAGACAGGAGGCTCAGTGGGGCAGCTCCAGCCATTAGAAAATTCCTGGTTTGAATCAGAGCCTGACTCCCTGGGATTTGCATTTATGAACACTTGTTTTATCCTTTGGGACCACGCACTGATGTTAGCTCCTCTTTCTCGCACTGGCCTTTCACATATAATAACAAAAGGAATAATTGCTTTGCAAAGAGCAACTCCTGGGTGCCAGGTCCTTTCCATACATCTGCTCCATTCCCTGAAATGACCCTGGCTGGGGCGCCAGTGACCTCGGTCCCACGGGCTGATGCCTCCCAGCACCCCTTCCGTCCTTCCCCACCCGGCAGCCTCTGTTCTTCGAGGGAGAACCGTGTGCTTCTCTTTCTTACAGTGTGATGGGGAGAGCGGGTGACCTTTTTGTCCTCTGCTCAGTGTCTTAGTTACTTTTTGGCTCAGTGTCTTTGTTACTTTTCTCCTTCCTGGGACAAAATACTCGACACACACAAGTTAGAGGAGAAAGGTTTATTTTAGCTCACCGTTTGTAGATGTTTCAGTCCATAGGGCGGCTGCTCCAAGGCAGGGTGGTGTGGCAGAGGGGCATCGAAGAGGAGAAACAGTCCATGGCAGGGCAAGGAGGAGGCACGACCCACAGCGACCCACTTCTTCTCACCAGGCTCCACCTCTCAACGTCACACCCAGCTATAAACCCATTAGTGGACTAACGCAGTGTCACACACTTATCATCCAGTCACCTCCCCACAGCCTCACCTATGAGTACATGAGCTGTGGGGGGACATTTAGATGCAAGACTTAACTCTCATGGGTGCATAACCTTTGTTGGTCTAATGAGAAGGACGCTTGGGAACCATGTTGGGACAAAGATTCTCCCTATAGGAATTAGCAAGCCTGTAGAGCCAGGAACAGGAGCAGTTCTCTGTATGGGTCAGATCCCCCAGGTTCCCCACCTCCTCATGACCTGCATTCCTCTGCAGCCACACTATTCCCCAAACATGCCATATTTCTGCCACAGGACCTTTGCATTGGCTGCTCTCCCCAGATAGTCATGAGACTTATTTCCTCGATTATTTTCTCCCCTGCTTAACTGTTTTGCTGAACACTCACCACTATCTAGCATTCCATATGGTTTTTGTCTTGTCTGTCTACCCAGGCGACCACAGACCTCATGAGGTGCAGAGAGTTTTCTCCATTTTGTCCCCTGAGGTGTCTCAGGCACCAGCCTGGAGGAGCTGCTCAGTAAAAGCTGTCTGAGTGAACTTGAGGAGCAGGATGGGAGCAGGCCAAGAGCCACAGCCAGAGGCGCTGGTAGACACTTGGAGAGTTGGGAAGGTGACAATCAGGGGGTGAGTGGTTCAGATCTGAGCCCATGTGCAGGGGAGGGTGTGGGAAACCAGCATTCATTCACTCACTCATTCACTTCCTCATTCAGTCACTCACTCATTTATTCATTCAC